GACTTGGGAGCCACACTAATAGTCTGCCACGTGGCCACAGAAGAACGTTTTCTCAGTAAGATCAAGCTGACCGTGCCTACATGATTCAGCCTCCAGTATGGCTTGTTAGAGGAAGTAAGAAACCACAAGTTTCAACAACTGAAGATGGGGAACATTAAAAACACAAGTCATTTTGGCTTGTGCACAGACAGGCAAACCTTGAGAAAAGAAAGAGCTGGAGGCACCTGGAAGGCCATCTAATTACGGGGGTGGGGTGGGGGCGGAGGACAGATTTCAAGATGTTTGAACTGCAATTCCCAGAAGCCTCTATGAGCATGGCAAATGGTGAGGGATCCAGGAACCTGGTATCTGGAGATACCGACTGTCTGCCCCTGCTCTAGTCTAACTCCTTTTTGGTAGGAACAAAAACTGCATGGGGCATGGGAGTTAACTTAGAGTAATGTAGGGCACGGTATGTCATCACTGGGACATACAAAAGGTTCCTTCCTCACATTTGGGGATGATATCCCATCTGCACCCACAAACTCAAACATAAGCAGGAGTTCCACTTTTATGAAGTTTTTATAAATTCCAAATTTCACGTTGAAAATCCACATTTCCATCCAAAAATGGGCATTTTCATAGCTTAACCATAGAGGGAGAAGTGTGCATTCAGGGCACACATTTTAGAAAGGTGCTCACATTTCAGATTCTCTCCACCCTTCTCTCTCTCTCTCGCTCTCATTCTCTCCCTGCCTCCGACTTACTGCTGTCACCATCCTTCGTCTCCTTAAAACGTTGAGTTCCCCAGACCAACTTTCCCATATTGGTGCATTTGCAATCTGGAAGTGCTAGAAGCTATTCATCTAGATGCTAGGAGATGCTGCTTCCTTCTTAACTGAGATGTTAGGAGACACTGCTCTCCCCTTTTGGGGGGCTTCTCAGCTCTCTTTTTCCAGTTCTACCAAGTTATTTTCCCTTTTCAACAGTCCCACGTTTTCTCCAACTCTTTCTTGGCTAGACTAAACGCTCTACAACTTGCAGAATGTCTGGACCACTGCGAGAGTATTGGCTGCTCGCAGCGACTCTGCCCTTGTGGCAGCAGCGCGACTGAAACGTTACCACATTTCCTATTCAGTTGCTATGCAAGGAATTCTTCAAGAGTAAGCTCCACATTGCCTTTTCTGAGCAGGTTCCCTTGCTGCTCACATGTTTTCCATCTGCCATTTCTCTTGGCTGGCGGCAACAGGCATGTCCCCATCTGTGGTAAAGTTTATTTTCTGTGTCCTTAAAACTGGACAGGCATATGCTAAAAATATTTCTGGGGTTAAGGATCAGTGAGGCGGTGGATATATATCAATATATTAATCTGCCTTGGGGCATGCAGGCACTCTGATTTTGGAACAGAGCAGGAATCCAGAACTCCTGTTTGACTGGAGAACTTCTCCAGGGGTGCTGTAAGGCCAGAATGGTGTTTTCCACACAGGTTGGCTGGACTGCATGGAACTAAACCTGCACCAGAATTGCACCCCCAGCCATGCAAAACCCATTTGCAGCAACATCAAACTGCTCTAGTGGATGAAAATTATTCCTAATGCTTCACAGGAGAGGGCAGGGGAAGCATCTGCTAGCCCAGGGATCGGCAACCTGCGACTCCGGAGTTGCATGTGGCTCTTGAACCCCTCTGCTGCGGCTCCATCACTCAAAACACGCGCAAGCACAGCTGCAGATCTGCTCGAAGCTCCAATCCCTACATTCCTCTGCTAAACAAGCTTCCTGCAGGCACTCATGTTAGGCACTCATGTTACACGAAATGCTGCTGAAAGGATTCTCTTTGTCCCAATGTAATCTCCCTCATCTGAATGTTAAAAGCTGCGCTTGGGATCTGTCACAATTCACAGCACTTGACTATTTATCTGCTACTCAGTCACTAAACACACCTATACCTGCACCAATTTACTGAGATCCCCCCACCCCGTAGGCCAACCATGGATAAATCGAAGAAAAGTTGTGAAGAAAACCAAACGTTTCATGATACGTGTGTATATTCATCTGCTTTTACTGCTGATGAACTTATGGGGTTTACTGTTTAATGCATGCAGCCCTTTAGCACTGACTTTGACTCTTCAGGAAGCTGTTCTCCTATTCAAAATATATGAAAGGAGTCCTACTAGTTTATAACGTAAGATTAAAAACAACAGTTTTTAGTGACTGAACAAGAGCTGCAGCTAAATCATAATGAAGATATACATAGCATTTCGGTAAAAAACGAAATGTGCAGTGTTATCTTCATTTTAGATGTCAAAAGGGTTTTGCGGCTCCTGGTGTTTTCTTTTGTGTGGGAAACGGGTCCAAATGGCTCTTTGAGTGTTAAAGGTTGCCGACCCCTGTGCTAGCCCAAGAAGAGAAAAGGGGCTAGGGACAGTGCTTCAACTATTTTTTCTTGAGAGAGGCTTCATGCCTTTGACTTGAGGGTAGCTTGCTTGCTTGCTTGATTTATTTATTTTTACAGTGACATGCTGAATTTTCAAAATTTCGGAACATCTCACTCAGCCACTATCACAAACGCAGAGAGCCTGGCTCACTGTAGACACACCTACCCACCCAGTTCTGGTCTCCTGCCCCCACCTCCTGACCAGCATTGCCGTTAACTACTGCACCGGTTTCAGCTTACACAGAAACTTTTATTGACCATTATTACTGACAAACATAGAAGTCACTCAAGTGAAATTAGCTGCCTGGAGTCTCTCATGAACATTTATGAGGTTGTCTCATCTCCCAAATTCCAAGTTTCTGAAGCTTGCGTGACCTTGCAGAGGTTACACCTTTCCTAGAAGACTAGCAGACTTCAGTTCAGGACTGGCAGTCTGCCAGCCTTGTACACAGTCTTAATCAGATGCAGACTGCCCCCTCCGTGATACACGTCCAGGCCACTTTTCAAGACGCTTTATGCAATGTCGTGCATTCTGACATCTGCAGCGGCAGGCTCAGATTCATTTGCAACATCTCTTATGTGGCTAAAGGAGCCAGGAAACAAAGGTAATGCATTTGCATACGTTTAATCTATACAAACACATGCAATCCTAATATACGCACATCCACCCCCAAAAAATTCAAAAACCCCACTTGCAATGCCTGAATTTACTGCATGGAAATGATCTCTTCATGAAGTGGCCCTTTGTTTGCCACCAATAAATTCGAAAGAAGAGACGTGACTTTCGAGTCACAGAGAAAGGCGGCCCGAGAGAAAGCCAGATAGGTCCTGATCTGGATTTGCATGGAATGACTGCAAACCATCAGGAAAAGCTCACCGTCTGGGAAAAACGTGAGTTTAGATGAGAACAAATGCACTGGATCGCATAGCCATCCGGCCAGCTCAGCGCCCTCTCTGACAGCAGCCTATTTTAAATTCCTGGCTTAAGATATTAGAAGCATCACAGGCATTAAGATGGACACCTTGGACATCCCACACAGCAGCTGCCGGCAGCCTGAAAAATGCTTCTCATTTTTGCTTGTCTTTTAAGAGGAAACAGAACATTATTGAGAAAAGATGGCTTATTTGGAAGGTGAATGACTTGAAGGACCCTATTCAGTCACAATTCCTGAACGTGGCCTGCCAAGTTAGCATGCACCAGAGGCCTGGAGCTGCGTACGACCGGCCACTGTCAGCATCTCTGACCTCTCCGTGCTGAGAAGGGTTACTAGCTGGAGAGTTTTATCGCATTTATTTGGACAAAATTGAAAGCTTGCGTGCGACCAGGGAGCCCGCTTTATCAGAGTCCTGGCTTGCCCAGTGGGTTGTACTCAAATTCTTGGGGCCTCTCCATCCACACAGGGCTACCAGAGACTTAGAGGGTAGGGCCAGCACAGGCAGGACATTTTGGCAGAACCATGCGGCCCTTTTTAAATGCATATTTTTGCACCCTATTCAGTCATAACTCCTGAGTAGGGATCAAGCTGATCTGGGAATACAGAATTACCTCCTTAAACCAGAAAAAGCATGAATTGTGTTAACAGCACATTACAGCTGAATTCAAAGCAGCGCTTAACCAAAAATAAAATTTCAATTACTAGGTCCCGGAATCCTGGAAAGACTTTTTTTTTACATTTTGACATGGCTTTGGCTCATCGGCTGAGCTGTAAATAAGTGGAAATGGGCTGTTACTGTTTGCTTTTAGTAGTTTTATTGGCATTTTACTTGGAATAAGCTGCCTTGTTTTTATATATTTTCCTTTAATGTTTGTTACGCTTTTACTTTTATACTTTGTTATTTTGTTGATTGGATTTTACTATATTTTATTGTCCTTATGAACATCAATTGGTAGGAAAGTGGAATGTAAACTAAACAAACAAACAAACATGGGTTCCATGGTGCAGCACCAAACCACAGTTCAGAAGTTGCTTTACAATGAGTATTACCTCCATTAACTGGGGTGATCCCTGCAGTTTCTGGCAGGGGGCCTCCCTAGCCCTCTCTAGCAATGTTGGGAATTGAACCTGGTTGCTTCTGTAAGCAAAGCAGGTGGTCTCCCACTGAGCTATGGCTCTTCCCCAAACTGCTCACCCGAACCAGCAGAGGATGATCACTAGATCCTGCCCTTCTCTTTGTGCCACATGGTTGCCTCCCTCCCTCCTTAATGCTTGCCCTGCAGCCAGGAAGGCAAACCAGAATCTAACTCTGGCTTGTATGGTAAGTATAAACCATACTTTACTGGTCTGAACCAAGCAGCAAAAAAGCAAACAATAGTTTGCTGCAAACCCAGCTCAGGAGAAAGGAATCACAGAATGACTTTTAAATTGTTCACACTAGGAGTTTGATGATAATCCTTTCCTTTTTAATTGCTACTACAGAAATGTTTAAGTGCTACGAAGACAGAAATGTTGTGAGTCACCGTGGAACGTTACAAAACATGACTGCTGCACAGTGTTTAGCCTGATGAGTGTCAAGACATGCAGGTAAGTCACCAGATATGTATATCATAATAGCATCATGTTTTCCTTAAAGCGTGTCAAGTACTCACGTCGATTTTCCACAGATTTTCCTCTGGTACCACAGTTTGCAGTTTGGTATGTATTGCCTGTTTGTTCCAATGAGTTTCAGCACAGCACACACGTTGGGACTACAGAGAAAGTGAATGGAGAAAAAAGGAGTTACTTTTAAGTTTCTCATTCATATCCTGGTGTTCAAAGATGTATCGTCAATAACACATCTGAAAAGAAGCAGGGAGTGTATAGAGAACGGTTCTTTTTGTTATTGGTCTTGTCATTTAACTTTCCAGATCAGAAGATAAACTGACTGTTATAAACTGAGCTGACATGTGAAAGAGCTTTTTCTTTACCGAGCCAGGTGTGAATTTTTTCCCTTCTCTTCATTCCCTTGAATAAATATAAACACTCAGTCTTTCCTTGCCCTGACAATAATAGCAATAATTCAAAATGTTGTAATTGCAACTGTGCTTCTACTGGAATGAGTCACAGTGAGTTATAATTTGGAAATGAAAAGGCTTTCTAATTAAATCACCACAGAGAACAGAACAAATCATTTATACAGAATACAACTCTAATCATTTTGTGAATCATTAGACACTTAGAGTTTTTGAATAATGCTGAGTATATACTCTGGTAGTCTGATTTTAAGGGTCAAACTATACATTTAATTATGTTCCATGTAGTTTAGCCTATTTTCTGTCCCTCTTAAGAATAAGAATGGGTGGCCCCAGTCAGATCAGGACCAGGATGCACCAGGACTAAAGGATCTGAGCTTCCTATACACATCCTCTTTTGTTTCCCCAAATTCTTGCTAAAAAGTAGATGTGGGGGAGCCTATATTGACCCAAATGGAGGGCTATTTAATCTTCCCCACTAAATGCACACTGCTCCAGATTCAAACTGGCACCCCACACATATTACTTTTAAGTGGAGATAAGACTGAGAGCAGGAGGAGGAGAATGATGTAAGCCACTTCAAGTTCTTTAACGGGAAAAAGTGCGGGATATAACTCCAATAAATAAATAAGTAACCGAGCCATGGGAGTATAGTGCCAAACTCGTCACCCGTGCTTTCCCAGCCATATTGCAATGATGCTGTGAGTACACAGATCCCAGGCATGCCCCTCCCAGCAAGCCACTTTAAAGGTTTCCTGTATGAGATCATGCACGTGCATGTAAAGTGCCATATGGAGTCAAGTGCAGTGGCCCATGTAGCTCAGCATTCTGTCTGCAGCCCTCTAGCTGTGACATGCTATACAAATATATACATCTACATACTGGAAGGAGACACAGAAGGACCAAAGCACATTTTGCAATGGGAGAAAGCATTGCCTCATACCTTAGATCTGGCACAGAAATGGCCATGTAATATTGCATGCATCCTATATATACTTCCAAAGTAAAGCCTATGTTAATTTTGATGGAGTCATAGGAGAAAAGCTTATGGAGGGAAGTTGCATGTCAGACACTCAGAAAGGTGCCTTCCTCTCTGCCACCAACAGATTAAAAATTAGTCCAAGGGGAGCAGTTTTTACACACACATGCATGCACATGCATACACATGTGCACAGTATAATACAAAAAACAAAACTGGGAGAGCCCTGTTTATAAGCAAAATAAAATAAAAAGTGAGAGGAAGATTCCAGATGCTGGAAAAGAAATGTATTCCAGGCCCATCATGTTTAGAAAAGAAGAGTTTCCTTGGGGGCATGTTTCCAGCAGCAATTTTCAAGACAAAGGACAATTTGCTTTTAGAAATGCACCCTGAAGAAAAGGCTCTTCCCTAAACACCTTGTGCCTGGAATAGCTTTATTTCTTAGCATCCAGGGATGCCCCCTTCCTCTTGCCCACACACAGGCCGGCTGGGTTTGCCTGATCACAGGGATGCTGACCATGCGCTGTACAATCTGCTTCATGAAGTCCATGGTGTGCCTGAACCTAGCGAAAAGCACTGCAGGGGTGGCTTCCAAAGCAGCCCAGAATGCATGGCTTGCTTGAGATGGTTCAGAAGCCCCCCCCCCCCCCCACCGCCGCACCCGCCGCATCATACATCTTGCCAGGTTCAGTCAAGGCAACCCGCGTGCCACATGGGAACTGCTTTCCCCCCAGCATGCAGTGTAATGGGGGATGAAGGCTTCTTTTCCCCGGTTATCACTTGAACCTGGCTGCTGAAATGCACTGAATTGTATAAAAAGTGCCTTTCCAAAGGAGTCCAGCAAGAGGGGGAGTGGTTGAACTAATTATTTGGGGAGTGCTTGCTCCCTCACCCTTCTCTGGCACCACCTATGACACTCACTCCCACAATGCTGTGTGGCCTGCTTGCCTAGAATCCCTGGTTGACCAAACTCAATGCCTTTGTTCTGTGAATCATGCATCGGCATATATACTTGAATGGAAGACCACACAGCCCTGATTTGCATCAAGGCCACAGTGGATCAGGAGGGGTGACTTAAGCTTCCCCTCCCATTCTTGTCCCCAAATTCCAGATATTCCCCACATGTTGGGGAGATTAAATGCAATAGACATCTCTGCATTTGGATCACTGCAGATGGGTGGGGGGCTGTCTAAACTGTAATTGAGAGGGAGAAATGAAACTTTAGCATGGGAGGGGAAAAGCTCTAATTCCTCCTTCCCAAAGTGACAGAGTTCCAATCCAAATCAGGACCTCACACACTTAAGAGGCAATTAATCCAATCATGGATAACTTTACACACACCAGCAAAATAACCAACTAGAGGAATGCAGCTTGTCAGCTTCTACAGGAGAGCCAGTGTGGCGTAATGGTTAAAAGGGCAGGACTGGGGCTCAGGAGATCTGGCTTCTAGATCCCCTTCAGCCATGGAGCTCACTGGTTTACTTTGGGGCAGTCAAAGGCTCTCAGCCCGCATTACTTCACAGGGTGGTTGTTGCGAGGGTACGACTGAGAGAAGGGGGAGGAGAATCATCTAAGCTGCCTTGAATTCTTTGAAAGGAACAAGGGTGGGATATAATGTAATAATAAAGAAATACAGCATGACAGATAACACCCCCCCCCCACCCATGCAAATACTGAAGAGTAGACCAACAGGCCAGTCTTCCACTCCAATGAGCAATTTATTGCCTTCACACCTGAAAGCCTCCCAGGAGCCCTTCATCTCACTTTGATTTGCCTCCATCACCGTCTGCTTCATGGGATTCCCTGGCCACCGGAGACTAAAACACACTGGCCCAGAAGATGTGCTGGAGCTGCAGCGCACAAAGACCCTGTCCCGGTCCATGACACATGCAGATGTTTGGGAGAAAAATGTCAGAGCACACTCAAGCGCCCCTTCATCCTCAGCAGCCTCCCATTAGGCCAGCTTGGGCAGCTGATTAGCAGTGGCAGCAAAGTGGTAATGAATTTATCACTGCTGCCTTTTTGCTGCCTGGGATCTGGAGAGGTGCTTGCAGAATTTTCTGCCTAGGGTGCCAAAAGAACTTGGCTGGCCTTGGGTATTGTGTACCTTGATTTGGGTGGAGGGGAAACAATTTGCTGTTCTCCCTCAGGCAGCAACATGTCTTGGGGCCAGCTCTAATCCCATCAAAGCCAGTAAGGTTGGCACATGTCTATGGCTGGATAGGATTTCTACCCTTGTTTTGTTTGAGTTCATTTTCTCCATTTGCATGGCATGAAGCGAAGAGGAGCTCGTGCAAATAGCTTAAGACAACCCAAGGCTATAAAAGAAATCTCTCATACCAATGCACTGAGAAAGGTCCTGCAGTACTTTGGAAGAAAACAGCAGGGCATTCGTAAGACCGTTAGAGACGCCATGCTGGATCAGACCATCCAGTCCAGCACTCTGTTCGCACAGTGGCAAACCAGATGGATCCCTCTAGCAGGATGGGTGCAAGACCTCCTCCTGCTCAGCCTCCTCAGCAAATAGTTTCCTCTTGTCATGTTGTTCTGAGTTTAAAATCTGCTTAAAAGAGACCATACATTTGAGAAGAGCCTTGAAGCCCACACTCCCACAATAGATCTATATGCCATGCTTTCCAACAGACTTTCTTCTAGAGGAATGGAGATGGGGTACATTTTTATATGCTTCTTCTTCCCTAGTCATCTGTCCAACTGTCCATTACATGCTACACTGGCCAACTCAATAATACAATGTCTCTTTTTTCCCTTTTTTCTTTTGTTAGGATTTGAGGATCAGCTAATACACTGTGGCTGCTAATTAGGAATTCTCCTTGACATGGGTAATTGAGATGGACAAGATTTGAAGACTCACTTATTACATTCAAAACCAAATGGATCAATAGACTATCAAAACAGATGTTAGCTCTGTCCTTAAAACCAGACACTTTTGCGGCCCATACCATATTAGCAAAGTAGCCAACGGGTTTTCTGCACAGTACCACTCAGTGCCCTGTTTCAGTCCACGTGATAGGCAGTAACGTCTTCTACTCTTTTGTGATTATGGTTTGAACTTCACGACTGCTTATAATATGGCTAACTCAGAGGATCTTAAATGGGCTGGGGGGGGGGTGCCACAGGAATCTCCAAAAGGATCCATGGGATGAGTCACCAAGAAGTGTCCAGCAAAGGAGAGGGTACCTGAGCAAATGATACCTTGAATATCCTTGTGCTTTCCACGCAATGACTTCTGTATCAATCTATCTGAATGGTGAAATCTTAGAAGAGGAAATTCAGAAAAGACCGTGGTTTGTTCTTATGTTTGTATGCGTGTGGCTCGAAGAGGTGATTGGAATCCAAGAGACTTGTGGAACCTTAAAAGTTTCTAAGCTTTCATGAATCAGAGTCCACAGATTCACACATGCAGCATGGCAGGTTGTTTTATGTAACTTTGTGCAAAAGTTTCAGCACTTCATCAGTGCAACACATGCCTGGTCCTATGTATGAGTTTAGAAAAGTAACCTGAACTGAGAAACTTAAGAAAATCTAAGATAATTGATCCTTTGTTCCTTTCAATGTAAGACAAATATAGTCTATAAGTTTTTCAGTCAGTAATCTGAACTCAATACAGAATGCAAAAGCCTTCCAGAATTTATATTCATTTCTTTAAAAAGCAGACATTGCAGCACAGCAGTATTTAGGCACAAACACTCTTAGCCCATGTTAAACATTACAGCAAGTGTTGCTTTTACCATTCGCATCTTCCATCTATTTATTTCCTTTCTGTTGTGGTTTCTCTGCACTCTCCTTTAGAGGAAGAATTCTATGTGACTCAAAAGTTTCTGTACCACTCCATACAGCTGATTCAACAGAAGGCATCCTGTAATTGGTTTAGGACCTCATTCTTTAAGCCTCGGCCATTGAGTGTGTGCGTGCTTGACAGAGAAAAGGGGTCTTACTGCTTTGGAGAACACGCTACCAGTCATTCGGTCTCCATGTATGACAATCCCAAGTTTATCAGGGCAGGCAGATGGAAATGAGTTTTCCGTTCGTTCCCTTTCTACACCTAAACTGCGGACGGCCGGGCCCTTTGGAATGGCACAAGACCATCCTTTCCGGGCATCCACCTTCTGCAAGAATCGGCCTGGCAGAGACCAGGGTGCGTGAAACAGGAGCCCACTCATGGTGAAGGTGGCCCCGCACGCCCCCACAGCCTGGTCGCTGCTCCGCGTCTTCCACGCAGGGCTCCCAGCCGCTCTTTCTCCCTCCGCTACCCCAACGGAGCGATCCTCAGGCAGCGCCCCAGCCGCCCGAGCGCAGCAGGCACCGGGCGCAGGAGAAGGCGGGATCCCGCCTCGCCAGAGGCTTCGCCCCGTCCTCTCCCTCCCTCCGCCCCGCGGCACTCGGGCTCCTTCTTACCCTTGATGCCTGCCGCGGATGCGGCTGTGATGCAGGATCTGCTGGTAAGGGGTCCTGCTGGCAGCCCAGGAGAGGGTCACTCCCAGCGCCAGGGCCAAAGCGAGCAGCAGTCCGCAGCGCATCTTGAGAGTACCGGCTGCGGGCGGGCGGGCGGACGCACGGACAGGCTGCTTGCCGGGCAGCGCCGAGGCAGGAGCGCTGGCGGCGACGGGGCAGCCCTGGGGGAAGTGAGCCGCCCAGCCGCCCGAGCGGCCCGTTTAAATAGCGGCGTGAGTGAGCGCGGAGGCTGGAAGGGGCGGAGACAGGCTTGGCGGTGCTCGGGGAGGGGCGGCGGCCCAGCGACGGGCGGGCTGCCCCCGAACGGGCCAGGGCGAGAAGGAGCGTGGCGGGGAGCCGGGGCGGGGGGAGGCAGCGGCGGGGGGCGCCGTCTCGCCTCCTCCTCCTCCTCCTCCGCCCGCGCCTGAGGGAATGTGCTGCCGAGCGCGCGCAGCTCGTGCAGGCTCTGCAGGGAAGCCTCTTCTCCGGGGGAAAGCCGCCGGCTGGCCTTGCGCAGGTTCTCCAGCGCCCCCCCCCCCCGCTTTACACCGGCGGAGATCCCTCTTTTCTGATCCCTCGCCCCCTCTTTGGTCCTTTGGTTTGGGGGGGGGGGGGGGGGTGGGGGGGGGGGGCACGAAGGGAGAGAGGCAGGAGTTCAAGGGCCAAAGGGAAGGGATCCAAGTTGGAGCCACGAGGATATCTTCCTCCTGGAATCGCAAGCAGCCGAGAAAGGCGCCTCCCGTCGAATCAAAGGCTTCTGAATCAACAGACCTGGTACTCTTAGTTAGGTTTTCCTTACTTTAGAAGAAGAAGGAACCATACTCCGAGAAAGCCCCCCCCCCCCGCACCTCTGCAGTCGCAGCAAGTTACTGGGGAGGAAGGGGATGCACCTATAGGAGCCGGGGCAGTAGCATTCGGCTATATGGAATTTTGGGGGGTCGCGCGCTCCGACGTGTTTCCTTCCAGATTTCGTTGGATCGCAACTGCCATCCTCCGCACTATTAGCAGTGTTGTTGGGGGCAACGCATCTGCAGGCCAACCTGATCTGGCGGGCCACCCGCTCCTCCCCCAGAGCGGCCCTCGTTCGCAACATGTTGGGACGGTCGTGCAGGGAGCCTCGGCGTGGCTCTCCCGCTTCGCACCTGGGGCCCTGCAGCCCCGTCGAGCCTGGCCGGCGTGGCTGGCGGGAGAGGCTGCCTTGCACATCTGGAGGGTGCGGGGCAGTGCACTCCAGTTCTCCATCGACAGGGGGACGTTATTGTTTCGAGGCTCCCTGCACAATACGGCCGGAAAGCAGTTTGCAAATACGTAGATGCATGGCAGGTGCGTTTACTGTTCATAAGCAGGTGGCATAAAGAGGGAAAGGAAAGGACATCCCGAGCATGTCCGCTGACTCAAGGTGAGGGCCGAAATGCTGGCGACCTGCTAACGATTGCAGATGGGGGAGTCTGCGGAAACAGGTGCCCAAAAAGCTTTCCACTCTGTGCCTTCGGAAGCTTTCTCCCGCATCATCTCTCTCTTGCAGGGGGTACTTAACTTTTGGATACTGCTTGTTATGCTTTTTCAAGGCTGTCAGCTTTCAGGTACCTGTGTCTGGCTTCTGCCCCCAAAAGGGAAAGCTGGGCTTCTTGTAACCATGTCCAGAATTTTGTGATCCATACTTTGTGAATCCACAAAACTAAATAAGACAAGCTAGGGAATGCAAAATGTTTTTTAAGTATGCAAAAGATTACACTGCTCACATTTTACAGATGGGGAACAATAGAGATTAATGCAGCTGGTGAGAGCAAAGCTGAGAAGGAATCTGCTTTGTGATTTCCCTGATAGGATTCCACTGGTGTTATTTTGCAGACCACAGGTGGACACGAGGTGGACCAGGACTGATCGGCAGTGAGAGAGCCAGTGTGGTGTAATGGTTAAGAGCGGACTCGGGAGATCCATTCCCACCCAGACATGAGGCCCACTAGGTGACTTAGGACCAGTCACTGCCTCTCAGCCTAAACTGTCTCACAGACTTGTTGTTGCGAAGATGTTGTTTTTCTTACTGTTATTTTATGTAATATTGTAATCCACTTAGAGAGTCTTTGGACTAGTTATAGCAGAATATAAGTTGGAATAATAATACAGAGAGGAGAATAACCTTGTAGGATGCTTTGAGAGCTGTGCAAAAGGAAGAAAGGTAGGATATACATACAATGTAGCAATATTAATACTAATAATGGATCTCTGGGTTATACAAAGTAGATTGGGAGTATTTAACAGAAACAACGACAGAATGACTCTTCTCTGCTGCTCTATATCACATGTTAAAACAAGAAATTTTGGAAGTAAATGAGAATGATTTTTTCTGTGGAAGGCCTATGAGCTTTGTTCATATCTGATAGTGAAACCAAGCTCCTGGAGTTTGTATTCTGTAATTCCAAGTTTAGGTTTTTTGTAGTGGTTCTGGCTGGTGGATCGCAGAAAGAATAAAAAGATCCAACAAGCCTCAAGAATGCTCATCTCTCTTCTAGTCTAGTCTTTGTAACCTCATTGCTAGCTGCATAGAAATATTTGTGTGGAAAATTTAAAACGAATAAAACAAGTGACAAAGGAACCATGTTGCCAAAACATGAAAATACTAGATTACTTGGAGTATTAAGACTAACAGCACTTTTAAAAAATACCTCATAAGGGGAATCCAACCAGAGGGAAGATTGGACTGCTAGATAACAAAGGAGTGAAAGGTGTGCTGACAGGGAATGTGCAGAGAAGCTTAATGAAATCTTTGTGTCCTCACTGTAGGAGATGTAAGGCAGATGCCTATGCCTGAACTGGCATTTTCCAGGAGAACGGAAGAGCTGAGTCAGATAGACATGATAAGGGTTGACATACTAAGGGCAGGTTTGGACAGCATCCACTCAAAATGTCTGTAATAACTTAAAAGTAAAATTCCTGATAACAAACTATACCACTGCATTTTTAAAAGGAGAACATGCGGGGAGGGAATCTAAGAACTTACAGACTATCTGTTCCGGCCAAGTGGTAGGAAAGATGGTTAAACCTACAGGAAAACAAGGCTCGCTAAAGAAGAATGAGCATGGAGCATGGCTTCTACAAAAGGGACTTCTGCCTCACCTGCCTTCTGGATTTCTTTGAAAATGCACATCTTCTGAGATAGCAGTGATCTAGAAGATACTGTTTACTGGGCTTTCATCCAGTTCTTGGCAAAGGTGCCCACCAAAGTCATGAAATAAGAGGATGCTCACCATATACATCAGTGGCTGGTAAAGAATAGAAAGCAAAGAGAAGGATGAGAATGGACTGTTTTCTAAGGCCATGGTATTCCTCTGTAAAATTGTCAATGCATTAGCTTTGGTCTACGGTTCCCATAATCCTTTACCATTGGTTATGACGGCTGGGGATGGGGGAGTTGCAGTCCAAAATATTTGGAGGGCCAGAATTTGCTCTTTCCTGTTCTAAACAGATAGTGGTGGTGATGCCATGCTTCTCCCATAACTGCTTGTGGGTTTGGACTGTTAGATAACAAAGGAGTGAAAGGAGTGGAAGACCAGGAACTGTGATTTTATTACTGTTCTATTCATATTACTTAAATTAATACTACTCATTTTATTATGTACTTCCTGTTTTATAATGCACTTATAACTTCCCCTGAGAGCCATTCTGGGTAAGGAGGAGGGATAGAAATCCAATCACTAAATCAATTGTGCATTGTAGGAGCACACTTTATGGGGAAACCTAAAGAGGATTTTAAGTGTGACTGTGACAAAGGGCCAGGTTACAGTTTATCTTGTAGTATGTTTTTATTATTATTATTATTATTAGAACATTTCTATGCCGCCCCTTGCCGAAGCCTTGGGGCGGCTTACAACACAATAAAATACAATACAAAAATAACAATATAAAATTAAAATTAATAATATCAAATAAATAATATATATATACACACACACACACACACACACACACACACACACACGATATAAAAGAAGTTAGAAAAGAAAAGAAGTCGCCCTGGCCAGATTTTAGACATGGAACCAGGTGTTCTACAGACAAGGGAGTGCTGCTCAGTAAGGCTAACACAAAACTCTTTATCCACAAAGGGGAACTGAGTGGCTCCATCTCCCCACACCTGAATCCTTTTAAATCTGGGCAGGCCACTGCTTGATCTGTGCCTGCTTACTGGGGACACTCTACATTGTTTTAACGGCTGCTTACAGCCTGCTCTGTGATAGCCTCTGTAAAAATAGCTATAGGATGTTCTTTGTCACAGCAGAATCTTACCTTCTTACAGGAGTTGTAGTAGGTTCCCCCACTCCAGTTCCTTTTTAAAGCACACTGGTGTTCCTTTGCTGTGGTTTATTACAGCCTTTTTGGAATTCATTATACAGGGGTACTTGATGTCTGCACGATCTGTATACAGAAAACATGGAGCAAGGGAAATGGCTTTTTGCTCAGCTCTGCCTGCACCTCTTCCCATTGGTTGTTGGGAAAGAGCCTAAAACTATTGACCTGTGGGGTGGAGATATGGCTGTATATGGTCCCAGATCCCTGCTGACCCAGTCTGGGACCCAGCTTCGGTGCTGGGGCTGTCTGTTAGGGTTCTGAACAACTTGCCTTTGGTCTGTTGTGATAGGGTGAGTTCCTAGATGGTCCCACTGGTCCTGTCCAAGGAGGGGCCATTTCTGTCCCTGCGTATGGCAGGGTCTAAACATGATCATATTGCTCCATGGTGAAATGATGAGCTTGTAAAGAGGTCCCCGTCCAGTGATCCCTACATCCAGGGGCAGAACTTGCAGAGATAAGGGGTGAGGCCACCTGTCCTTTGCAGAAGGGGCAGGATTTAGAGTTTGGCATTAGGTAGCCTTTCTCACTCTTCATTTTTCAAAGGCCACCCAAAGTTCCATTTTCGGGAGGTGAATGTACTGTGCCGTGTGAAGACGTGCTTCCTCTTACCTGTCCCGACTCTCCTGCCAGTCAGCTGCTTGTTCTAGCCTTCTCATGGCGAGCTGCAGCTGGGCCACAGTCAACCGCTGTGGGCTATTTGATCATGAGAACTGGGCCCCTGCAGCAGTCTGCAGGACACGACAGCTTGGGGAGTCTGAACACGGGAAGTTATCTAATGCATAGAAGGGCTGTGGCAGATACAGAATACACGTGGCTACCATTTTGAATGTTTGCTGTGTCCCGAA